TAAAATCAGGGTGACAAACGAACACACAGTCCACTTGATAGTAAGTAGTTGCTGTGGCCCATAGACATCTACATCCATTCTCAACTATGAATCAAAATGCAGATGTGCTATCACCCGTGAGGACTAAGTTAGAATAACTCTTTCCAGTAAACGGGGTCGCCGGTTCTCTACACTCACCATACGATATACCGCAGCGTTTAGTTGCTATTTTACGTTAGTATTCTGTGAGAGCGTGGGCCTTCCCCGGTCGAGCCGACCCATTCGTGCTACAACTATAAAAGTATTTAAGGTACGAGGGGCACACTGAAATGATCGGGAATAGAATATTTCGGATTGAGTTACAATAAAACCTTTGTTAGAATTTGAATACTGGCCTCTTAGAATCTTAATGACATTCAAACAATTAAAAAAAATGTTTAAAAACAGAAACTATGTTGGTTTAAAGTTGACACGTCGTCAACAGAAATGGAGCTCACGCATGAACATTTTAACAGTGGTAGAGCCACGCGGCAGCTTTTGCTGTCGCACGCATGGGCCGGCTCGAACCGGGGTGGTACCACGACCTCACAGAATACCAGCGTGAAGTAGAGGTTTACCTCTACGTTTCGCTTGGTGAGTGCAGGTGGCCGGAGGCCCTTTTTACTGGAAATGAGGCATTCAATCTTAGTCCTCACGGGTGACAACGCATCTACATTTTGATTTGTAATAGAGGATAGATATAGATGTCTATGGGCCGCAGCAATCACTTCCATCAGGTGGACTGTGTGCTCGTTTGTCACCCTTATCCTATAGGAAAAAAAAACATGTCCGTGCCATAATTTATCACAATTTTCGTCGCGGCTTATCTCAAGATAAATATCTCAGCGAACTTGTTTCGATTTATGATGTTGAAGCACCGAGTCAAATGACAATATACCGCTGGTATGCTGAGTTTCGACGCGGTCGTGTGTCGCTCAGCAGTGTTTCTTCTGCAGGTCGACCAAGAACGGCGGTCACGCCTGAAAACATCGCAGCTTTGCGAACTGTTATATTAGATGACCGTTATGTGACATATGAGCAGATTCGGGCTGTTATCAGTATCGGGATGACTGCAATTCAGTCGATATTACATAATGAGCTGTGTGTAAGAAAGCTAGTTTCCCGCTGGGTTCCCCACAATTTGCAATGCTTCAACGGAGGGAAGTCAAATGCCGTTTATAATATCGTCTCAGGTGACGAATCATGGATTTATTCATACGAACCTGAAAGAAAACATCAGTCAGCAGTTTGGATCTTCAAAGACGAGGTCAAACCAACAAAAGTGGTTCGCTCCCGCAGCGTGTCAAAGAAAATGGTCGCTACGTTTGTCTCGAAAAAGGGGCATGTTGCTACAATTCCTTTACAGCAAGGCAGAACGGTTACCGCTGAGTGGTATATTACAGTTTGTTTGCCAGAAATGATAGCTGAACTCCGAAAAAATAACCCGAAACATCACATTCAAAATATTACATCACGATAATGCGAGCTCCCATACGGCTCGGAAGACAAATGATTTTTGAAGCAGGAAAACGTTGAGCTGATGAGCCATCCTCCGTACAGTCCTAACCTTAGCCCAAACAATTTCTTTACATTCCCTATAATGAAAGATTTATTACGCGGTCACCGGTTCGAAAACCCCGAAGCAGCTGTGGAAGCGTACAAATCAGCCATTTTGTCAACATCAACTTCAGACTGGAATTACTGTTTTAATGATTGGTTTGCACGAATGGAAAAGTGCATTAAGTTGAACGTAGAATATTTCGAAAAACAATAAAATACAATTTAGCTATACCATGCATGTAGTTTTTCTTATTCCCGATCATTTCAGTGTGCCCCTCGTACTACAGCTATTAAAGGTATTAATATTCTTTTAATTTTTGTCCCAAACGAAACCGTAAACCTGTTCAACGTTATGGATTATCAGAATTAAATTAATAGATCATTAATTAATGTGTTACCTATTAGTTAAAATATAGATACCTACCCTGTTGTAATTTAAGTGAGGAGGTGTGATGTATGTCGGTAGATCGTACAATATAAGTATGTATATATATTTTATTATATTTATCTAAAAAGCTTGGCGTGCTCAGCAGAGCGAAACGGTATTTCTTGCCGGCACATCGCTTGCAACTCTACAAAGCGCAAGTTCGGCCTCACATGGAATACTGTTCTCATCTCTGGGCCGAGGCACCCCAGTGCCAGCTCTTCCACTTGACCGCATCCAGCGCAGAGCGATTCGAATCGTCGACGACCGGGTTCTTTCTGATCGGCTCGATACACTGGCATTGCGTATAGATGTTGCATCTCTTTGCGTATTTTATCGCATCTATCACGGGGAGTGCTCCGAGGAATTGTTCGGACTAATTCCAGCCGCTCAATTTCACCATCGCATATCGCGACAAAACTCGCGTTACCATCCATAACATCTGGATGATTGGCGGTCCACCACTGTGCGATTTAGAAGAAGTTCTCTCCCTCGCACAACTTCCTTGTGGGATCAATTACCACCAGCGAGTTTTCCGGATCGATACGACTTAGGAGCCTTCAAGAAAAGAGCTTACACCTTTCTAAAAGGCCGGCAACGCATCTGCAATTCCCCTGGTGTTGCGGTTGTTCATGGGCGGCGGTAGTCACTTACCATCAGGTGAGCCGTACGCTCGTTTGCCCCCTATTCTATAAAAAAAAATTCTATGTAGGTAGGCAGTTGCATCTGCCACGTTTATTGCAATCTACCAATAAACGCCGTTATGCAAGGACGTATTTTATTTCTCAGTTCCTAATCGAGTTTAGATGTATGTAGGTGCCTATATGCTGCATCACTTGACATCGTGGACTACATGTTTGTTTATCGCCCTTGTATAAAAACAGATATTTTTTTTAATTTACCGTAAGTAAAACGGTATACTTATATGAAGCTAACAGACCTCGTTCACTTCATGATTCCCCAGACATTAAAGGAAATAAAGTCAACCGTTCGTTGCAGTTAAAAGTTGATTGCTACGAGTATCAACGCTTGCCAGACTTGGAATAGAATTTTTCGAACAATTTCATCGTTATTATTGCTGTTGACTTTTATGGAAACTTCTGTATATTAAAGAAAACTTTGTTGCAAACACGGGGAAGCGTCATGGGAGATTTGGCATAGTTGAAGCTAATATAGTTATATATTAATATAGTTAATATAAAAAGCTATTTTATATATATATATACGTGAGAGTAATATGGTCATCCGGTTAATATGGTAACGTTCTTAAAACTCAAAAACTAAAGCATTGTTTGCAGAGATGATTTTGTGATATGATAGCTCTTCATCAGTATAGATAGATCAAAAGGGCGCTGCTTTATCAACGCCATTTTGACAGTTTATATTATAGTAAATATTTTAATCGATTTTAGTATAGTGTATGTAGTGAAGATAATTTTTTTTAGTTCATTTTTCAAAGTGTTCCCAATTATTGCCAAAACTTGTTTGCTATTTTTTTTCTTAATATATTAGTTATAGAATACGACTTTGTGTTTTTGTATCTGTCCTCCTCCCAGTTTTTGTTTTATAGGACGGCAAAGCTTAAAGTAACTGTATTACCCTCACGTACCTATATATGTATATATATATATATTAATATATTAAATTAAATATAATATTAAAAATACATTATTAACTTGATTTTCAAAAAACTGCTTTTTGTCCTTTTAACACGTTTAATTCTTCATAATTTTACATTGTCATTCGATACTGAGCTACTCGTATGTTGAAAGTTTTAAGTCTCTGGTTCAGAAAAAGTTAGTTTGAAATCAATTACTGAACTCGACTCAAACACCGGAAAACATTCATTATTTGCGTTTGCGTGATAGAGCCAAGCTGCAGCTATTAGTAGTATAGTTGTAGCACGAATGGGCCGGCTCGACTGGGGAAGGGCCACGCTCTCACTGAATATCAGTGTAAAATAGCAGCTCAACGCTGCTGTGTTTCGTATGGTGAGTGTAGAGAACCGGAGACCTATTTTACTGGAAAAGAGGCATTCTATGTTAGTCCTCACGATCTGCAAACTGCATCGGGGGAGTGAGCAAGCAGAGTTGATCACGTAGATAAATGTGATAAGATGTTAAAGAGGAGGCATAGGACTCGGATATTCCTGCTAAGTCAGATTGGGAGCCACTTGAGCTGTTTGCGATAGGAGACGTGGTCATAATTTTTTAGCCCAAAAACATAATGAATACATAAGTTTTGCAAGTGCTCAAGTTTTAAAGCGAAAACTTCTTGTTTAGTTACCGGGTGGTATTTGGGGGAGATTAAGTTGACCTGAACTGTAGCAAGCGGGAATTTTAAATAAAAGACCACAACTGCGTACTGATCTCGGAGTCGATCCCCGATTCGATCTCGTTTATTGAAAATAAATCGCATAGACCTATTCAAATTGCGGAAGCCAAACGCTAACGACTTCTAATTCGAAGCCAACGCCATCTATCGAAGACGTTGGAAGCTTTACAAAATGTTAAGTTACAAACATACCGCCCACCAAGGACGTTACTGAAGGAACGTCCTTCTAAAATGAACTAATTATGAACTAAAGTACTATTAATAATTTGAATTGCATAAGTACAATAACATAATACTCGTACATAAACATAAGTACTTGGCCTGTAAAGATTAAATAATTTGATCTGTTCTGCAAGAAAGCACTGTGGACTAATTATAACAAGTATTTACAATATTTTAAAGCTAAACATGAACTATTCTAGAGCATAGAAAATGAACTTAAAACTAGCTAAATATAAACAACCAATGTGAGCTTAAAACTAACAATATGTAAACAGCGTAAATATACTTAACAATTAATGTATAAAGATATATAATTTGATTTTGCACATTTGGTTTTAAATTAATAAAAAGAGTAAAATTTTGGTATAAGTTGATTCTGCAAATTTAAATGTTAATTTGTTATAAAAGCAACATGTGTAAAATAAAAGAAAATAACAAATATTTATTGACTTACGGGTAAAATGCATAATTTGGATGTTGGTCTTTTGATTGTTGAGGATTTAGTGCGTAACGTGGCAACACGGGTGATATTATCATCCCCAGGATGTTTCTCAATGATCCTACCTAACAACCAACGACTTGGCGGTAAGTCGTCTTCTTTGACAAGCACAATGTCACCAACCCTTGGCTCAGCAACTTGGGACGACCATTTGTAGCGACGCATCAACGTTACAAGATATTCTTGTGACCAACGTTTCCAAAATGACTGAAGAATGCGTTGAATTAATTGCCAGCGAGATAAATAACTTATATTGGTGTTTGTGTAATCAGTATCAGGAACATTTAATAATGGTTCTCCAATCAAAAAATGTCCCGGAGTTAATGGTAGTGGTTCTCCAGGATCATCAACGTTAATTGTGCTCATAGGTCGCGAATTTAAACACGCCTCTATTTGACTGAGGAGTGTCGTCAGTTCTTCAAAGGTGAGAGTCGCTTCACCGATTACTCGCTTCAAATGGAATTTTGTAGATTTCACTCCTGCCTCCCAAAGTCCACCAAAGTTGGGACTGTGAGGAGGAATGAAATGCCACTCTGTACCATTCGTTTCGAGGTGTTCGGCTATTGATGACTGAATAGCTGTCAACTGCTGTAACTCCCTGGAGGCACCTACGAATGTAGTGCCATTGTCACTCCACAGTTTGGCACAATGACCTCGCCTTGAAACAAAGCGTCTGAACGCCGCTAAAAAGGCTTGAGTGCTCATGTCACTCACTGCTTCTAAGTGCAACGCTCGAGTGACCATGCATACAAAGAGGCATATATATCCCTTGTATGACCGATGGCCACGCCCTTTTGTTGTCCTTATGCTAATTGGACCAGCATAGTCAACCCCACTATGAAGAAATGGTCGAGCTGGGTTGCAACGAACAGCTGGTAGTGAGCCCATGAATTGGTTTTTTGTACTGGCTCTTTGCCTGGCACATATGACACATTTGATGACATGATGTTTGACCAGATTTCTAACCCCAATAATCCAGTAGGCTGTTCTCAAATAGTTAATCATGAGCTGGGGACCCCCGTGGAGGGTTTTATGGTGAGCGTCAGCTATGATTAACTTAGTTAGGTGACTGGAGTGAGGCAGGACGATAGGATGTTTCATCTGTTCGCTGAGCTCTGACTTTTCCAGTCTCCCTCTAACTCTCATGATGTCCTTATCATCAAGGTAAGGACAGAGTGACCTTAATGGGCTTGATTTTAATTGTATATAGCCTTTGTTCTTTAATTCTTCATATTCTGTTGTAAATAGTTCTCTCTGTGTTTTTCTTATACAACTTTCGAGTGCAGCGTCTAATTCTGTCTTTTGTAAATATCCCTTTCTGTATATTTTGTTCTCCTTTAAAAATCTACGACAGTATGCAACAATCCTAACTAATCTTCGTAACTGAGAAAACCGATCAAAGAACGATTCGTTTGGAATTGTCGCTACATGTACCTTTGCTGACTCTTCTAAATCTGTAGTACAATTGTTGTGATTTGGCCTATTGTAAACTACGTTTTGTAGCTTAAGAAACGGTGGTCCAGTAAACCATAAATTGTTTTCTGGTATTGAACTAGGAAGTATCCCTCTCGAGGCACAGTCTGCTGGATTATCCTTTGTGGAGACGTGAAACCATTGCGACGCTTTCATTGAGGTTAATATTTCAGATGTTCTATTGGCCACAAATGTCTTCCACCTGCTTGGGTGGCTGTTTATCCAAGCCAACACAACAGTGGAATCAGTCCACGCCTTGACCCTTTCTTGAGAAACATTCAAGACCTCAGCTGTTTGCGATAGCAGTTGTGACAGCAAGACCGCTCCACAGAGTTCCAATCGCGGAATACTTATTTGTTTTACTGGTGCGACTCTAGTTTTAGCAACCAGCAACGATACATTAATGTTACCATCTGAACCGACAACTCGCAAGTAAACAGCAGCTGCGTAAGCTGTTTTAGAGGCGTCACTAAAACCGTGAAGTTCCAGATAGTCGTTCGACCTTGTACCAAGCCAACGAGGAATCCGAACCTTGGTGAGTAATATCAACTCTTCACGATACGGTATCCATTCATTTATTAAATCATCGGTTAGCTCCTGGTCCCAATCAACACCTGCAAGCCACAACTTCTGTATGAAGACCTTCGCTATAATCATACTAGGGGCTAACCAACCTAATGGATCGAAAAGTCGTGCTATCACAGAAATAATAGCTCGTTTAGTTACAGGTGCGGTCGTGGGCATCGGGAGGTTCACCGTGTACTGGAAGCAGTCTGCGTTGCGGTTCCAGGTAAGTCCTAGAATTTTAATAGTACTGTCAAGTTTTATTTCTACTTCGTTTTGTTTATTTCCTGATTTATTTGGTTTATATTGTTCTATTGATTTTATGTCCTGTATGATATTGTGATTATTTGTGTTGTCCTTGTTATCCTTTGTCCTGTTTTGATCTATTTGTCCTTTTAGTATATTACTTTCTATGTCCTGTATTTTGTTTACTATGTCTTGATTATTACTGTTCCATTTTTGAAGCGCAAATCCACCCTTTCCTAATAAGTCTGTCATTTGACGATGTATTTCCAGGCCTTCTTCGACGTCGTTACAACCGGTCATCAAGTCGTCCATGTAGAAGCAGTTGAGAATCTTATCTGCAGCAACTGTATAATTGTGGCCTTCATCGTAGGCTACTTGATGAAGTGTTCTGACTGCTTGGTATGGTGCTGATGCCGTCCCAAAGGTAACAGTCACTAGTTCGTAGTCCTCGATTTCGATTTCAGAACTGTCTCGCCATAAAACGCGCTGAAACATTGCATCTTCATCCGAAATCCTGACCTGGCGGTACATTTTAACAATGTCTGCTACCAGTGCAATAGGGTGAAATCTCCATCTTAAAACTGTGTGTCTCAAATCAGACTGCAATGTAGGTCCCACCATCAACGTGTCATTGAGTGAGACTCCATTGTTGTTCTTTTCGGAGGCGTTGAACACGACACGTACCTTCGAGGTAGTTTTGTCCTCCCGAATGACAGCATGGTGAGGTAAGTATACCGCTGCATCCCTATTCTTGTCCCTTTTATCTATCTTCCTCATGTGTCCTAGTTGTAAATACTCTTCTATTACCTGCTTGTATCTTTCCTTTAAATCTACATCCCTTCCTAACCTTTTTTCTAAAGATTTAAATCTCCTTTCAGCGATAGCACGAGAGCCACAACCTTTACAAGATGGATTTTCTTCGCGGAAAGGTAATCTTACTACGTATCTTCCACTGACGTCTCTTATGGTAGTTTTACTATACAGCTCTTCGCACTTCTTCTCCTCGGGTGTCAATATTTTCTTTGAACTATTTTGCTCTTCAATTTCCCAAAATCGTCTTAATAATTCGTCATCACTAAGTTGTGCATGCAAGACATTAATTTTTGTTGAACTTTCCCTACTGACAGCGCCAGACAGGACCCACCCTAAGGTAGTGCTTTGAGCAATCAGCGTACCGGACGGGCTCTTAACAATACCTGCCTTAATAATGCAACTGTATGCATCAGCGCCCAACAACACGTCTATCTTATTGGGCGTGTTGAACTCTGGATCTGCAAGCTGTAGCGTATTAACGCTTAACCAATCTAAAGTAGTGTGTACTTTGTATTCAGGTAAGTATGACGTGATTTTGGTAAGTACGTAAGCGTTAACCGTAAGACTGAATACAGGATCTACTCGCGATTTTATATTTAAACGTACCATGTACGTTGCTTTGGTTGAACTATTGCCGCCAAGTCCTGAGATAGTTCCTTGGATCGGGATTTTCTTCAGGTTGAGCAGCTGAACTACGGCCTCTGTAATAAAACATGCCTGCGAACCCTGATCGAGCAAGGCTCGGACCATCTGAAAGTCACCAGAGCGTGACTCGGCTTTTATTAGCGCAGTGGCTAATAAAACCTGTCGGGGCTTGGGAGTATTACCTATTGACAGACATGAGACAATCGGGCCAGCATTAGGTGAACTAACACTGTCGACAGTCGATGCCGTCGAAGGTTGATCCCTTTTGTCCGACTCCTGGCTAATAATATGCAGTAGCGAATGATGGCGCCTTTGACAAACCTTACATGTAGTGGGCTTTCTACATTCCGAAACCATGTGATTGCCGCCTAAACAGTTGAAACATATTTTATGTTTTATCACAAAATCACGACGTGCTTCAACCGTCTGTTTTGAGAACTTCTTACAGAAACACAATTTGTGTCCTTCTAAGCAAAACTCACATCGCATTGATGAACTCGTAGTCAACATTGCCTTCGGAGAGTGAGCAATTGATGCTTTATTAACGTTGTTGCTCTGGTGAACTGGTACCCTTTTAGGATCTAAACATTCTAACGCACGAAACCGATTTTCTATAAAAGCCTTAAATTGGTTGAAAGTTGGTAAGTCATTGCTGGAGTCATTGTTGCCAACACTAAGCTCCCATTGCTTACGCGTCTCGTTATCCAATTTAAATGAAACTATGTGAATTATAATAACATCCCATGTGCTCACGTTAATACCCAAATTGTTCAACGCATTAAGACAGTCACAAGTGGTATCAAGTAACTCCTTCAGAGCTGTAGATGATTCCACCTGCATACGTTTTTGATTAAACAACCGTTTAAGAATACAATTTGTTAAATATTTCTTATTGTTATAACGCTTCTGTAATTGATTCCAGCACTGAATATAATTGGCATCAGTTACAGGTGTGTGGCGAATCAATTGTTCTGCTTCACCGGAAAGGTGGCTCTTTAGGTAATGAAGCCTTTGTACATTATCTAAAGATTCATTATTATGTACTAATGAGGTAAACAGATCGTGAAATGTTGTCCATTCATCATATTTTCCTGAGAATGTTGGAATGGATATTTTGGGCAACTTTACGAAAGAACTACTTGATTTATTAAAGGTGCTAGAAGTATTGGCTTGATTTAAAGAATCTTTAGCTGACCGAATTGTGTTAAGGGTAGTTTTCATTAAGCTTTTGTAAACAATATAAGTATCCTCTGTAGCATCATAAATATCAACAACCCTTTGTGATATATCTTCTGCTTTGAAACGTTCGTATAACTTAGTATTATTTTCTTTAAACAGTGCCCAATCCTTTTCTAATAATTCTTGTCTTGTTTCTACATACTCTATGGTTAACCTATCTTTACCACATTTTTTAAAATTAGTTAGTCCCTTTGTTATAACATTTTGTTGATCTTTTAATACATTAATTAATCCTTCCATTTTATTATTTATTTGATTTTGTAAATAAATAAAATGTATCTAAATTGATTTCAATTTGATTTAACCTTGTAAATAACAATGTAAAGTTGATAAAACTATGTATAAAACTTATTTAAAACAAAGTATTTCAAATCTATGTTGGCAAAATAGAAATCCTAGAAATAATACAAGTATCAAGACACCTTTGAAAATTTTACAAGTGTTTGGAAGCACACAAAATCTGATAGAAATCGGGCGTAGGTTCCCCGTTCCCCCGTTTTCTTTAAATTATTCTAAGTCCTAATATTAACATGCACACAAATTGACAAATACTAAAATAAACTAAGTCTAAAATTGTCATTAAAATTTTACAAGTCCAAGATAGTTCTTCACCTTTTCAAAGTTTAAATTGACGTTAGAATAGAGTTCAAATTCACTCGATTTGTGGACGATGTATATAAACAAATTTTACTCACGAAACTGTACTTCACACAAACACCTTTGAACATGCAAGAGGCGCCCCCTGTGGCTGCCAGCTGTACTGCGCGTGACGTCCTCTGTGACGTCGTGTGATGGCTGCGCCTGCGTCACCTTGCTGCGTCGTCTGGGGTGTTGATCTGAGAGTGGCGCCCTCTGGTGGCCACTCCTTGAACTAATCCGCTAAAGCTGGCTCAGCTCACCGCCTATGCTGGGTGAAGCTGTCGCCGCTGGTACGGAGGACTCGTGTACCTCTCTGTAGCGATCCACTACAAGTACACGGAGAAGCGGGCCAGCGGTGGCCGCCTTGAACTCAAAAGGCCTGTCCAAACGATCCGGCTCGTATGGGCCAATGTTTAGTTACCGGGTGGTATTTGGGGGAGATTAAGTTGACCTGAACTGTAGCAAGCGGGAATTTTAAATAAAAGACCACAACTGCGTACTGATCTCGGAGTCGATCCCCGATTCGATCTCGTTTATTGAAAATAAATCGCATAGACCTATTCAAATTGCGGAAGCCAAACGCTAACGACTTCTAATTCGAAGCCAACGCCATCTATCGAAGACGTTGGAAGCTTTACAAAATGTTAAGTTACAAACACTTCTTTAGAATTCGAAATTCGATAAAACGAAAATACGACACAAAAAGGACACATATACACGACATATTACACGACTATTTGAATATTATATTAACATAGTTGTGTTTCTAGTGGCCATCTAGCGTTTATTTTACATACCACTTTAAGAGTCAATCAATTTTGTTTGATAAAATTACTTTACCTTTAGAATGAAGTAGATGGCGCTAATACAAAGCAATTTTACTCCAAAAAAATCTTTTGATTTATTACACTAAAATTTAGGCTCTAAATGTCTGAAAATGAGGATTTTAATATGTATTTGCTACAAAATAAAAATTTTATCTCATATTTCATGCCAAATTTCTCGTTAAAAATTATCATTATCATATTAAATAAATCATTCGCGGTATAAATTTTTATTTTATATTATAATATACGTATGGCGCCATGCTGCAGCTATATTAGTAGTATAGTTTCGGCTCGACCGGTGGAGGACCACGCTCTCAGAGAATACCAGCGTAAAATAGCAGCTTAACACTGTTTTTCGTATGATGAGTGTAGAGAACCGGAGACACTTTTTACTGGAAAAGAGGCATTCCATCTTAGTCCTCACGGGTGACAAAATGCAGATCATTTTGATTCTTTATTGAGGATAGATGTAGATGTCTATGGGTCACAGCAAACACTTACCATCAGGTGGATTGTGTGCTCGTTTGACACCCTATCCTATAAAAAAAAATCATTTGAAGGTTTCACTTTTACCGCGTGTGAACTGCTTTTTTTATTCCAATTTATACGCCTAATTCTAGCCAGTACCTACAAGTATTTATTTGTTTAACTGAACCCAATTTTGAATTTCAATCAAGCCCTCTTTAATTGAATATATGGCCCTTATCTAACTTGAAAACATCAATGAAATAATCTACAAACGCAATTTTGACTCTATTGTATTACAACTTAAAGCGCTTTTTGCTTTGTACCGTAACATCGTATATCACAAATTGCGGGATCGCGGCCTATATCCCTTAGTTTTCGATATAAATAAGTGCTAAGATTTATCACTTTGCTGGCATTGCCGTTGTAAAGGCGTTTAAAACAAAGAAAATAGGTTGAAAGGTTCTAACCCCTCTCATCAATATAATAGACTAGCTGCCCTGCCCGGCTTCACCTGAATAGGATCTGAGACCAAAGGTAATTTATTTTTATTAATTGTTCGTTTTCATAAAAAAAACCTTAAGTTTTTCCGATAAAATTTAGCCTAGAACCATTCTGGTATTGTTTTCTATCTGTTTGTAAAGTTTTATCACAATCGGTTTAACCATTCCGAAGGCTAGCCCGGACAGACAGACAGACAAAAATCTTAAAGTTGGTTGTTTATGTCTTAATAGCATGCAAAAATCTCCTGAGTTTAATAGAAGTTCGTTATTACAATATAACAGAGAGACACTTAAGTTTTTTTTTTTTTGATAGGATATGGTGACTAACGAGCACACAGTCCACCTGGTGGTAAGTGGTTACTGTGGCCCATAGATATCTACATCTATCCTCAATAAAGACTCAAGACGCAAATGCGTTGTCACCCGTAAGGACTTAGATGGAATGCCTCTTTGGCAGTAAAAGGGGTCTCCGGTTCTCTACACTCACCATACGAAACACAGCAGCGTTAAGCTGCTATTTTACGCTGGTTTTCTGTGAGAGCGTGGTCCTTCCCCGGTCGAGCCGACCTATTCGTGCTACAACTATACTACTAATATAGCTGCAGCATGGCTCTACCACGTAAAAACGTGGCTATAGACATATATATTTGTTTGGTTGTTTGTCAATCAGGCTTGTACGGCAGGGTGGATTCTAACGGAATTTGTTATAGAAGTTTCTGACAATGTTTCTCTTGATCGCCGAGCTCGTGATAACCGTTAGCATTACAGGTTATTAAAAGCTATTAGTTAACTTAGCCCCCCCCCCCCATAGATTGTCTCATAAGCCATAGTTGATACGCTTGGCAAGCAGATGAGTAAGCGCAGTTTATTCTTATTTTTAGTCGTTATTAGGAAGACACTGCTGCCCATCTCCTAATTTGTTACCCTCCGTCGCCTCCTACGACGCCAATGGGATGATATGGGGTGGTGAATATTCTTACATCGCCACTACACGGTATTGCGTGCTAAATCAAAGTTATAATTGCAATCAATTTCGTTCGTGCCGGCGTGGTACGAACCCGGTTTGCTCGTGCTATGTAATATACCTACACCGTATGCTTAACCTCTGAAATACAATAAAAATTTTGTTGCTATCCTAGTTTAGAAGTTGAAATAAGATAATCCAAACATCAACATATTTATTTCATCGTTTGGAGGTCCCCAGTAGTAGATTTTGTCTGTCCTATGTATATTCGAACACTTGTACATCAGTGAATACGTTTTGTGCGTGAAACTAATTTTACGGATTCTATCGCGTTCAATTTGATCAACCATCCCCATGGGTTGGGACCATTTACGGGGGGGGGGGGGGAGAACACCTCAGGTGTTTGATGTTGTCCTGATGTCATAGTTAGCCCGGCAACCTTCAGATTTTCAATATTACTTTTTGGACTGATACATACATAAACACTCACGCCTGTCACCCAGAGGGGTAGGCAGAGACTACGGACTTCCATTTGGCGCGATCCTGACACACCTCTCTCGCCTCTTTTACATGCATATATCTACGCATACACGCTCGTCGGTTAAGGGTACTCCTAATCTGGCCCATTTTTAATGTATCGCCGATTTGGTCGATAAACCTTCGTCTAGGGCGTCCCTTCCCGACCCTGCCGTTCACTTCTGCAACATAAATTTGCTTTGTCACTCTTTCCTCGTTCATTCTTTCTATATGACCAAACCACCGAAGCATTCCTTTCTTAATCCTTGTCACAACGTCATCTTGCATCTTTTGGACTGATCTACGCAAAATATGCTTCTTTTCGACGTGCATAATAAATTGGTAACATATGATTTATATAATATATTGAAAACATATCTTTTTATTTTTTTAAATACTAGTAATGCTATTAAACATTACTAATATTCCCTTTAACCACTTCTGGTAAGCTTAAAATGCTTGTGTTAGAAGTGGTTCACGACGGTAGTCGCATGGCGGATTCGAACCCACGACCTTCCGAGTTCGTGGTCCGTGCCCTGCCTTTAGGCTATTGACGCTATTATACATATGTATAGAGAATTAAGATAAATAATATACTGCAAAGAATTTTATATGGCATGATTGTGCTTACCAGAGTTATGTTAATCACTACGCTTAATACTGACATATATTTATCACACAAAACGATCGTGTAGTTAGAGTAAAAAACTTATCTTTATATATATATATATATATATTACTATTTACTAAACTCCTTCTAAGCGGCTCAACCGATTTTTGTGTATATTTATTGTTTGAGTTAAATGCATCTACAACACCAAAGTGAAATTTGAGTAAAGAAAATTCTTATATCACAGAATACGAGTACATAGTAGTTTCTGCGTTTGCTTTACAAAGAAAGAAATAAAGAACGTATTAGAAACGTAAATGGAACACAATAGACATCGCTTTGCTCTCAAAGGAGGCATTTGAATGCATCTGAGTATGCACTTCTGCCTTGTGAGAAATCGGCCTAGAAGCCGAGAGCGGTTACGATGCGAATTTGAATTGAATCTCTTAAAGTGTTTTTTTTTACGTGGTAGAGACATGCTGCAACTATTCTATGGTTGTAATAGTAGCACGAATAAGTCAGGTCGACCGGGGAAGGACCACGCTCTCACAGAATACCAGCGTCAAATAGCAGCTCAATGCTGCTGTGTTTCGTATAGTGTGTATAGAGAACCGGAGACCCATTTTACTGGAAAGAGTGGCACCGCATCTGCATTTCGATCCTTAATCTATGATAGATTTAGATGTTTATGGGCCTCACTTACTTAGCACCAGGTG